GTGTATAAGAGACAGACCGGCGGCTGCGCCGTGCCGAGGGAGCCCCGGGGGCCGCAGCGGGGAGTAGCCACCGTGGCTCCCGCTGCCGGGGCCTGGCAGCCGCCGGGCCTCGCCTGAGAGAGCCCGGGAGCAGGCAGGCCCCTCTGCCGCAGGGGCGCGGGCGGGCGGCGCGGCCTCCTCTGCCCGGAACGCTGCAGCCTGGAGCCTCTTCCTGTTGCCAGCTGTATGTGCCCGGTCCCCTTCCACGGGGTCTGTTTATACATATCTGAGAGACACCCGTGTGTTTTTGAGAAATGCTTTGTTCCAAGAATGTGTAAAAAACACATTTCAAAAGTTGCTGAGGATGCCTTTCCCTGGGCTCGTGAAGGGTTGAGATAGAGCACTGCCCAGATAAACTATCCTGGTTTAGAGTATCTGCAGTGACCTTAATAATTTCCTACTGTCTCCTCTTCTGTCTTGCTTCCAGTCAGGAGCCCAGTGCCGATGGGATGGATAGTACCTTGCCAGCAGTAGCAGAAGAGCTTTTGAGAGAGATAAAAAAGGCTTTTCAGGAGACCTCACACGGTATGTAAAGAAAAACAGAACCATCCCAGCAGGCAGTGGGCCAGTAATGCTGGCGCTGTCAAACCTGCAGGTAGCTATGAGGGTTGTTGGCCTCCCCTTGTTTGCATCTTCTGCAGACTCTGGCAAGGAAGGGGTGGTACTTCTCTCTCAGGCGTGTCAGGTTGTATCGTGTGTTTCCAGCTTTTGTGTCCCTATCTGGAAACGACACACAGAGCTTTGAAGCACAGATAATGAGGAGCAGCCCCCTTCTCAGAGTCGGGCCTTTTCAAAAATTAGACCAGATTGGACACTTTTTTTTAACGTAGGCCTAGGACAACGCTGCTTGCAAAGTGGTTGCACTGGAGGAGTGTTAATTTACATATTTCTAGGCAGGCAGCTTGTTGTGCCTACTGTACTGCTGGTTTTGTAAAATGATTATTTTCAAACCGAGAGTGAAAAGGGAAATCTTAATAAAAATGATCACTGACCGGCAGAGGGTGTTGTGTCCGAGATCCCGGGGCAAAGAACAACTTTCCCGTTGCCTGAATGAAGCGAGTAAGCCAACAGCTAAATCCTGGCCAATTCTAGCAGCTAGTTAAGCACAATTACCTTCATTGCACTCTGGATTACTAATGTAGTTCTGTAATCTGTGCTGAAAGAGGATATTACTGTTTGTGTTCACTTGATAAGTAGCACAGAATGGATTTTTCCTAAGGAAAGTGCCTTTAAGGAATTTTTTTAACTGCACTAAAACCAACCAAATAAACATTCAGAGAAGTCTGAGCACTATGTTTTAGCGGGGAATGGGCAGAGACTTAATGTCTATAAACTGTCGGACTGAGCACAGTGGCAGGTTTTTGGCATACTTGGAGTATGGCTCCTGTCAGGTTAGGGCAGATCCAGAATCTACACGTGACTTTTAAAAAGAGCTTTATAAATCCTGTTGTAGATTAGAAAGAAAAAAAGTCAACATTCCTTTTAAGACTTAAAGCGTCAAAATAGTACTAAGACGTACACTGAGACATAACTTCAGAAACAAACTGATCAATCATTTTGGAGAATTAGAATAAAGTTGAAAGAGTCAAACCAGCGTAAGTCATAGAGAATAGTTTTAACTATTAGAACAAAGCGTTTTAAAGTCAAAGTCTTGGTCTTCCAGTGGAATACAGGGACATAATACACTGTGTCCCACTAGTGATAAAAGAAATATCAGATTAGATTATCAGAGCCTAAACTGTTAGCTACAACAAACAGACTGATTTTCTTAAGTGTAACTTTCCATCTTAACAAGACGTTCCAATAAGTGAAGACATTATGTTGCTGTGTTTAAAAAGCTATAAACTAGTGGCGCCCTGCAAGACTATGCTGGGAAAAGAACAACATTTTTGAAGTTTTGATGCCAGAGTTCTCAACTCATGCCAAGAGAGTTTCAGGGAAACCAATATATATATTTTTAACCAGCTTCTTAAAGTGGCAGAGTAAGATGTTGAGGCCGCATGCCTTTTCTTACATGCTTTTAAATGGAAGATATTATGAAAGTAAGTCTATTTGGGCTTCTGGATTTCTTTTAAAAATTAATCCCTGTGGTTCTGATTGCTGTACTTGAGAAGTGCCTTAGCACTACCCTAGAAGATCATTTTGCTGCTCCTTGTTGCTTTTTAGTGGCTAGAGAGGATGACTAGAGCACTGCAGTCCTCTGTGGCCTCTGGGAGTACCTTAGGGAGCCACTAGCCTGCCTGTGATGTTGATGTCTCTCACAGTGGGGAAGTTCAGCAAAATCACGCTTCTTTTTCTTTTTCTTGCAGTCCCTGATGACCTGCTGCTGGGGTAAGTACCTTTTGCTTCATTTCCTGTCCCAGGTGACCTGCTAAAGGGCAGTGGATAATCAGGTCTCATCACAGTACTGATATTTTTTCACTGTGTTTGACCAGTACATGTTTCTCACACAGAGTTGCTACGTGCTTTTGCTGGTAGTGGAAATAAAGGTCCAAAGAGATGTTCTCAAGGGTTTTTCCAGAAATTCCTGGAATTATCTTTGTATCTCTGAATCTCCTGTGATGACTTGTTCTAATTTGGGTAGATTAAACACACAGAAACCCAGAATGTTTCACCTGAGCTCTGTGTCCACCCTCAGATCTGGAAGTTTTCTGTGAGAGTGGACTGTGTTTTGCAGTGATTCATGCCGATGGAGTGCTGCATCTCCACCGTGTTCATATCATTGTGAGCACAGCAGCATCCTGAGATCCCTTCTGTTTGAGTCATGAGTGTGCGAGATAGAAAGGGAAAAGTGAACGTATCATCTCTCTGCACAGGGAAATTGTTAACTTGAAGATTATCCTGAGAGTTTTCTTCTGTTGAGAAGAAGTCTCAGGTCAGTTTCATCACCCTTGCATTGATTGAAGCTTGTGAATATTTCAGTCATTCCCAAGCAGTCTCCTAAGAGATCCTGAGATTCTGCAGCCCTAATTGGTCTTGACGCTAGAGAAAAGACCCCATCACAGTGAGAAAGGCTTTTCAGATTCATCTTTGTGTTCCTCCCTGCCTGTAATTTAGCCAGGAGAGGAGATCACCAGGAACCCTTCAGGCCTTAATATCTTTGAGTCTAAAGTTATCTAACATAGCACCTGTGAAAGGTGTGCATGCTGGCTCCCTCTGCTGAGACCACAGTGGCCTTTGAAGGGTGGGATTATATTTGACAAGTCTCGTAACTTTTTGTTTCCTTCTTGTTGTAAAAGAAAAGAGGGGGAAAGAAACTCCCTTGTTAAGTTTAGTAACAGTTGGGTGGTAACTCTTGGCAGTTGGATTTCTATCAGTTCCCTGTGACCAGCAGCTCAGAAGTATTCTGAGTTAATTTCTGAATCTCTTCCAAATCTCTGAAGCCCTTGAATTTCCTTTGGGCATTCCTTACTTATTTCTTGTTAGACTGATTGAATTATATACATGGAAAAAGAATTCCCTAAATTTGAAAGAGTTACTGAAACTCATTAAACTCAGCCCCCTTATAGTCCCAAACCTAATCATTAAGGAATGTCTTACGTTGAGTGTTCCCCCACCCACCTCCTCAGTCCTCAGATGAAGCCAACCCTTATTGCCTTGAGTTTGTGCAACTGAAGTTTTGGTCTTCCTGGAATAAGTCTGTCTGCTTGGCTTGTTATCAATGAGATTGACTCAGACGTGTAGGTCAGCCATGCTGCTGAGACGCCAGGGCTCTGCCCTGGCTCTTTGTGTCTTCACTGGAGTTGGAAATGTTCCTCTGCTTTCTCCTCTTGTCCTGCTCATGTTTTGTAGTATCTTTTCATCACGGCTGATTTTCTTGTTGTTTACCTTTGTAACTAATCTAGACTACACAGATTTTTCTCAGCGGATAAAAGGTCTGTAAAGTTAACTGGGTTGCCCCTGAGCTCTTTGGAACACATTCAGAGCAGCTGGATATACAGGTCTAGAATAACTTTTAAGTCTATGAGCTGTCTGGACAATAGGCTAAGGGTAGAGATGTCCATATTTGACATGTAGCTTATCATATACCCTTGCACATCAGCAGCAGGAGACAAAATCCGCCTTGCAGGGATGTGCAGGCAATGAGTATGTAGGTGGAAATTACTGGGCCTTCAGGACCCACAGCTCTTTGGTTTTCCACTTGCTGGTGTCGAATTTTACAGCACCAAGCTCTGCAACAGCCAGACACCAGCATGTGCCTCCATGGTGCTGCCTCACAGATCGAGGCCAAGGAGAGAGTTGTTTAAAGGCAATGTTTTGCAGGAAGCAAACGTGTACCTGAGCAAACTTGGTTAACCTTGTCTTTCCCCCGTCCCAGGCGCTCTCTGATCCATAAATGCTGTGCAGTGGTGCGTCCCTGCATGGTGATGTGTCCTGCTTGGAAGGAAAAGGAAAGGGTTTTTAGAGAGGGTGGAGGGACATAAGGCATGTGCTGTCCCTGGGTGTTTATCTGGGATAAATTTGATGTCTCTGAGCCCTGCTGGTAGCTGGATTACAGATGTAAAAAAACCTACTGCTAGCCCATGACTCCCTGTGCAGTGAAACATCTTAAGTATTTCCCTGCTGGTCTTTAGCTTCCTATTGATTAAGTTTGGTGCATAGGAAAGAATAATTCATGCCTCAGTTGTGCCTGTGATAGAGAAGATACGATCACTACAAAATGACTCATTCTCCAGGGTTTAAACCAGTTTCCCTGAGCTGAGGAAGGAGCCCTGCTGTTGCATTTCCTATTGCTGGAGGAGCTGTGAATCATCCTTGCTCTCTCCTTGCTCCAAGGCACGATGCGTGGGCCGTGACCTGAGGTGGGATTCACGACCAATTTATCAATAATCTGATCCAGGGCAACTACTCATCCAGGACACCCGTATGTACAATTAATGTGTCCCAGCATGAGCCCTTTTCCCCCTAGCATTAGCAGCTCTGCCTCCATGTGCTCTTGTTTACCTGGCGCTGCCCTCACTAAAATCCCTGTTTATGCTCGTTGTGCTCACAATTTCACAGTTTACTGCCACAAGGATAATTGGGCTGCGAGTGTGACACTGCCTGTTGCTGGTAACCTCTGTTGATCCCCAGCACTGTGCTTCCCCCAGGATTTCCTTCCTGCATCTTCTCTGCCAGCATGTCTTTCTTTTGCTGCCAGACGTGCAGTTTCCTCTGAAGAAGACCTAGTGTATTTAGGGTGCTGGGCAGAAGCAAAGTTTCCAGTTTTAGAGTCCAGATTCACTGTTTGATAAATTGATTAAGCACCAGTGCTCTGTCTACACAGAATTTGTATCAGAAGAACTATGGGAATACTAACAAAAAGTCTGATTGTATCACTGTATGGACAACCCGTGACTTGCTTCACCTACACTCCCTTTGCAATAATCAATGATCTGTAAAGTGACTGTTAAGCCAGAAATTCTGCTCAAAGATAACTCCTCACCTACATGGCTAACACTGTGCCACAGTCATAGACACTGACTAAAAAAAAAAATCTCACTTCTGTGTCTGTGATGCACTTTGTCTCATTTTAATTCAGGACAGGAACCACTTCATGTCCTGTTTGTGCAGCAAGCAACCAGAATACTGTTTGGATCATAGTGCTGAAGAAGAAACACATAAGCTGTAATGTCCTGTATAGGAAAAAAATCTTTAAAATGTCTTGTAATTAAATCTGAGTGGGATTTTGCAAAGAAATGTGGGACTGTTTGGGAGCAGCTTGGAAATTTGAAAGTTCTTTTAAGAATATCAAAACCCATGTAGATGCTCCAAATAGCTGGCAGAGTGGAGGCTGTCCGTAAGGACTGAGCCCCATCTGTCTTCCAGGAGAGCAATTGTCAGCTGAGATGGTCTCAGAGGGACAGGGCAGGGATTGGTGGTTGCTTGGTGAAAGCCAGCAAAGCTGTGAATGACAAATACACTCCATTTCTTGGTAGCATAATTAATGGAGCTGTAACTGGTGGGATTTTGAGAGGCAATGGGAACCTTTGGCTACAGGTCTTCTGGACTCCATAGGGCCAAATCCTCTGGATTAAGGCTAAGGCAGTTCTGTGCTGTGATGTAACTAGAGACACGTTCCCTTTCAGGCTGAAGTTCATTTTTGGCCCATGTGCTGTCCCAGCTTTGGATTTGGTGGATCACCGTTCTGTCACTCGAGTTACATCCCCCAGTGGAAGGGCTGCATACCAGGTACACGCTGTTTTTCTCCTCTTCAGTCTTACTTTTTTATGGTTTCCAGTTGACATGTGAGCCAATATTTACAGAACATGGACGGGCACTTGGATAAATACGGAGAGAATATCAGTGTTTTACAAACTCCTAAAGTGATACTGGAGAGCAGTAGCCATGGACTAGAATTAGAACAGGATGGGACATACCACTTTCCTTATGGCTCCAGCCAGTCAGAGACAATTTCTTACATGTTTGTGGGTACGGTCAGAAGGAAGTTTTCCAGGGATTGCTGATTTTGCTTTATTACGTTCATCCTATCCAGCAAAGGCAGTTCTTCCTCTTACAAACTGTACACAACGGAGTGTTATCTGCCATCACTGCATTTCTTGCCCTGTTGCACTCCAAATCCTGTGTCCTGGACACTCTTGACCTCTGCTTGGTGATAGGATCCTTGCTGCCTGGGAGGAAGCAATGCAGGCCGAGTCAGTGGGTTTTGTTCTAGTTCACTCTAGCCAAGTCTGTGTGAATCACAGAAACATTCATAAACCAGCATTTTAGGCAGAAGGGCTCACCTTAGCCCTAAGGATCAGATTCCCTATACAGCACAGGATCGGAGGTGGAGCTGAGGCTCATCAGGTGAAGGGAGGAGCCACTGGCTTTTCTTTCTGACTTTTCCTTCTGACTTTTCTGTGGTATGGGGGACCCTGTGCCATAAGATTTTGGTGAAGAAGCACCCAATTCCTTCTACTTAGCACTATTAACCCCCTCAGAGAGCGCAGCCCCCTCCACTGCTGAACTTGCTGCTGTGTGTTTCCACACACCAGAGCAGGGGAATCTCTGCTCACTGTTGCAGCAGCCAAGAGGAACATTTCCAAACGCCCTCTCGCAAAAGGCCTTCTCTCTTTCAGTGGAGGTGCTGAGACGCTTTGGGGTCACCTGGGGTAAGAGAAGAGCTGTGAAGCCAGGCCTGGGTAATGACACAAACATTTTTCATGTGTTCAGAGCTTGCATTGCTTAATTTACATGTGGAGTCTTTATCGCTTCTGGGGCCTTGGAGAGGACATCAGCCCCTCCACAGAGGCACAGTTCATAAACATACAGGGCTTGAGAACACAGTCTTTGATTTGAGCTGAGGGTTTGCCTGTAGATATTTGGTGAAGTCTAAGAAGCACTGCTTCCAGGACCCCTAGACAGCAGTTGCTTCACTAATTAAATGCTTAAAGGCTTTTCCCTTCAAGCAGTGCACATCCAAAAAGAGCAGGTGTCAGAACTGCTCTTCCTCCTCCCTCTGCAGGTGGAGGGAACCACCAGTTCCCCTGCAGGGAAGGAACCCCTGGACAGGTAAGCCAGGACTGGTCACCAAGAGCTGATGTAGGACAAGCCCAGCCTTCAGCCAGGCCCTTTGTAGCTGAGGGGTGTGATGTGAGTATGATGTGAGTGGCCCCCCAGGGCCTCTGCCTGTGGCCCCCCAGCTGATGGGCAGCCTGCAGGATGCAGTCGCTGCCTGCAGGTGTATGTGTGCTTCCATTCCACTGTAGTGGAACTTGATTGCGGATTAAGGCCATGCTGATGAGTTCATTAACAGAGGAATCTGAAGAGATATTTTCTCTGGGGGTGTGAGGCTGGTCGCATTGTGAAATTCTTCCTCAGCACAGCTGTCTGAGATCCAGAAAGAAAAGAGCGGAGCCTCCCCTGAGGCTGCTGGCTGGAGCGGTGACAGGAACACAATCTTGGGCTGTAGAAACCAAAACACTGAGTGGGATACTGCACTTAAGAGTAGCTGGGTAGTGTCACTGGCTCTTCATTCATGTGTGTGTGATGTAGACACGTATCCCAGCTGTGTGCACTTCTACCTCAGCAGAAAAGTATGCCCAGTGCAGTGGGGAGGGGGGGAGCATCCATGGCTGCCTGGATGCATGCAGTCATCCCTTTCACTTATTCCCTAGAAAGGCAGCTCTGCCATTTTCACCCAGATGTGGTTGAGCTGGAATGTGAGGTGGTGCTTTCACTTGCAGCTGGATCTGGAGAACTGTTCCTGTTGAGGCCATGAGGCTGGTCCTATTGTGAAACTCCTTTGGGTTATCGTAGCCAAATCCAGTTGATACTTCCCAGGCTAAAATGCTGTTTGCGTTCCATATCACCCAGCACATCTTAGGTACTGCTTCAGGGGGAAATGGCTCTGCTCAGACAGGCCCTAGGACTGCAGTCTGTAGTGTAGGCAGCTCTTGCCCTCAGGAACTGAGGTGAGAGAAGAGCCCTCAGTCAAGTCAAAGCTATGATTTGTCATTTAACGCCTGGGCATTAATGTCCTTGCTACTTAATAGAGGAGTAGCACCAATGGGGTATCCAAGGGCTGATGTTACTTCAGAGTTGTTAATCATCCCAGAAGAGCTTGTATAACACCCGCCTATGCTGCAGACTAAGGCCAACCCTTGTAACTCCAGGTCAGGGATAAATAAGCCTTACCTGCTGCACAGGTGGCGGAGCTGTGCTGGATTCAGCAGAAGTGCAGAGTGGTGAGCAGGCCCCAGTTGGGGCACCTATTGTCTGTGCCTGAGCTGTGGAAATGCTGTGAGCTGTGGGGGTGAAGCCAGTTAGCACGGGGAGAGGCAGTGCTTTAGCCGTCCTGCCAACTGTCCCTTGAATTGCTCACATCCTGCACTTTCATTGCATCATTCTTTTTTATGTCTTTTTTAATGAATTTCCTAGAACTGTATGGCAGCCTGCCCCACCGTGAAGGATTTGAGCATCAAGTCCTGGCACAGACTGTGGGGCTGCCCAGCTGTGTGCTGGTGGCAGCAGTAGCTGCCCTCCTGCATCCCCACGTGCTGGCAGGGACATCACCACCAAGGTGATTTTTCCTTGCTGTGAGGCCAGCAGGCGCCTGGAGATGAGGGCGGCGGAAGGAAATCTCACAGCATCTCAGGGCCAAGAGAGCACCCCAGTGCCTGGCTTGGCTGCAGCTGGCCAGAAACAGAGGCACCTTTTTCTTTTGGTCTTTGGATTTTAGATTCTGCCTTATTAGGCAGAAGCTGTATTCTTGCCATCTAGGTCAGGACAGGGGAACGCTAAACACAGCCCAAATCTGGCAGTGTCTGTGTCTTCCCCCCCTCCTCAAAGGAAAACACTTCTGAAGGAAAGGCACCATCGGAATACTTCATCTTGGAAAAAAACAATCAAAGGGGCTAGAGAAAAACAAACTTATCACAAGTGAAACAAACTCAGCCTGGAGTATAAGGAGGGCCCAGGGTAAAGGCCAGACTGAAAAAAGAATGGTTTACTCAGAAATGGGAATGTGAGTCTTGTGTTCTGAATCTGCTGGGAGTAAGGGGGATTATGAGGCATAGGAGCTTCTGTGGGAGAGCTTAAACTTGTGGACGTTACCTGTTGGGCAAGGGGTGCAGAGAAGGCTTTGGGGGACAGGGGAAGGCTCCCCTTGCAAGTGCAGCTCTGGACCAGGAGGGACGATGTTCCTCTGGAGGGATTTAGGAGTGCCAGGGCCATCCTGGAGGGGAGCCGTGCTCTGCAGAGCTCCACTGCCTTTCCACATTTTTGTGTTTATCTTTGGATTTAGGTGAATATGTGCCCCAAACCCAACCAGAATCTAAAGCCTGGTATGGGAGAGGAGTGTGGTGTCAGAGCTCAGAGGCTTGTGTGCAGAGGAGGGCACTGCTGGTGATTACAGCCACGTAAATTCTTCTCTGGAATATCCAGGAAGCGTTAGTGCCAGCTGTCGAGGCCACAGAGCTGACACAAAGCACTTGCTCCCACTGTGGCAGATACGAGACACATGGCAAATATTCTGTGGCAGTTGTGTTTTGGCCATGGGGTGCACTCGGTTTAGGCCTCAGAGCGTTAGTAAAGTCCATGCTATTGAGCGCAGGTTTCTGCTTAAAGTCCTGCAGACCCTTCCCTGGGAGGAGGAGGAGGGCAGAGCAGTTGGCTCTTAAAGTAGCTTTCTAAAAGATGTTTTCCAGTCTTGAAGAAAGCAAAAGAGAAATAATCTGTAGGTTGGCTTTTCTGTCCCACGCAGTCAGGTCCAGCAGCTCACAGTTTTCCTGTCAGCTTCTCCATGCTGGAAATGAATTTTTCCCTCACCTGGCTGCCTGCATTCTGTGCCTCAGTACAGAGGAACAGCATGTGGGAAAAAGAGGCAGTGCTGTTCCCAAACCAGAGACTGAGCAGGGGAGGCTTCTTCTCTGGAGACTCCAGCTTTGTTTATCCAGATGAAACTGGATTCCACTAGTTGCAGCTGGTTTTGGGAGCAGAACAGCAAGAACCTTTGCAGCCTCCAGCCACTGGAGCTGGTTAGAAAAGGCCTCGCTGCGAGTGCTCGCCACTGCTCTCCTTCCACCCCCAGGTCCGTGGTGGCCCTGGATGCACAAATGAGCTTTCTCAAGAGTCTCTGTCACCTTCAGCTATCCTGTGTCTGCCTGTACCGGGGCAGGGAGCTCGCTGGAGGGGCTGGCAGCTGCCTGTGCTGCCGGCTGCGGGAGATCAGGGGAGGGGGCTCTGTGCCACTGCCCTTCTCCTCATCTCTTAGCAGCAGACAAGGGACTGGAGCTGGGCTCTGCACGTACAGGAGCGCTTCCTCGCCTGCACACTGTGAGAAAGCTGAGGAGCTTCAAGCTTAGGTGGGTCGATGCTGTGTTTGGGGACACTTTTGTAATGCCGCACCTGCTCCCCTGTTGCATGCTGTGAGCGGTTGTGGAGAGGACACCGTGCCAGATACAGGCTAAGAGTTGGAGAAATTAAAAGTGAGTGCTGCCTCTGACTCCGGCTGCTTTTGTTTCAGGTCCTTGGGAGCTCAGGCAAACTCTACACCTGCTACAGTTCCTGCCACTTCTGCACGTGTCCTGCTTTTGGTTTTACTGTACTGCAGAAGAGCGAGAGCCTTCTGGTAAGTTGTCTGCCTTAACTTGGGGCCGCAGGGGAGAAGGCACTGCTCTGCTCCTTGAACCTGAGCAGCCTGAAGTTTCCAAGGGAGCAAACGTGTGAGTGTTGAGTTGGCCACGGAGGCTGTGCCTGACCCACTGCATAATCTGGCCTCTGGGAGTCCAGGTATTTGGGTGGAGCTAGGCCTTATGAGGGCTAGGGAGGGCTTTTGTTCTTAATTACACGTTACTGTTCCGACTTTCAAGAGATGAATAATCCCTGGTCTCCTGGAACAAGGGCTACTGCTGCTAATGGGCCTGCCACATGGAGTCTGGCTGATGAAGTGCAGTTCACCTGGTGCCAGTGAGGAAGGGCTCAGGGTAACCAATTGGTCTGCAGTTGTGGGGAGGACATCAAGAGCCAGTAACACTTTGCTGTGTGTCAGATCCTTGCATTACATTATCCTGATGGCAGACCTGACCTGGAGCAACTGGGACACCAGCCTGTGCCAGGCCTTGGTGTGCCAAGAGGGAACCGTGTTCCTGGGAGGGCTGAGTGCTTCATTAGACCCATTCTGACCAGGATGGATTTTTGTGGCTTCCAGATAGAGCACGACATTCCTGCGTTGCTCCTGCTGTTAACTTGGCTCCGCTGTTATTTGCAGTGCAAACATATACTTGCTGTCTACCTCAGTCAGGCCATGGGAGCCTGCCAGGAACTAACTGTCTCTGAGGAGCAGCTCACAAGCATTTTACTGGCTGATGAAGAGGATGAAGGATGAAGGATTTGAATCACATGTGGATGTGCTTTCTGTGTACCCTTCCGGCGGTGTAGCTGACATTTTTCATATCTACAAGGCTGTCAAATGTGCATCATGGCTGGGAGATTTCTTCCTGTGCTGCAACCAAGCGTGACATTCATTAGCAGCCTTGAACTGATAGGTTAATTAATAAATGTTAAGAAGCCCATGTTGACTTCAGTTTCATTTATTTAGGCTATTCTCAGGATTTCTGGAGATATGTGAACTAATCTGTGGGGATATGGGGATACACACAGTGCAGCAGGTTTCTTAGTGATTCATTAAACCTCGTTAACTCTGCTCGCGCTGTGACTAACCCCTCCGCCCTTCCAGTGCCTGCAGGGCTTTGTGGAGTTGGCCCCTGGCAGTGACGCTGCCGTGGCTCTTTGCAGCTGGCTGCTCAGAGCAGTTTCTGATTCATCACTGGCAAATCTGTACCAGGAACGAGGGCAGGGACCCCTCAGCACCTGGAGACTGATGACAGGTCTGTGCTTCTGCTGTGTTTACTGTAATACAGGATCTCTGGAAGCATCATCGTGGTTGCTGCTCTTTTAAATTGACCCATTTCAGACAAGTCAACAACCTCGTGCTGTCCACACCAGCCCAGGGAAGGGAGACCAGTGCTCCCCGTTCCATCCACCAGCCCGTGAGCTGGGAACCAGCTCCTTGCAGCTCTGGGACTCCCTGCCCATGCTCTGAGGTTGGGCTCCTCCTCAAGTACAGCGTGGCCTCCTACAAGACGCCGTGTGAACACAACACCGCAGGAAATAATGGAGCACAGGCTGAGCCAGGTTGTGTAGGTGGTAAATTAAGCATTCTGTATGTAAATAACAGTTACTGCAAATACAAAATCTGAGCAACATGAGGAAAACACATCCATCTTATGTACATCAGAGCAGTAATGAGTGATAGCTGAATAGCTACAGCTGCACTCGCTACAGAAAGGTCCTCTGCCGTTTTGACTTCACATTTTTATAGAAACCTTCAGAGTTTTGGGGTTTTTTTTCAGAGGGGCAAGGTAGGTGTCCTATTTTTATTTTTGCCTTGAAATGACTTTGGCTCAGATCCACGAAGGCGCTCAATGTGCCTAAAGACCACAGTGACCCGGGCTGTCGTTCCTAACGGCTGGCAACCCGATGGCATGGTCCTGCCAAGGGTCTGCATCTGACTGCAGGAATTCTGGCCCATCGGAGGCGTGTGAAAGGCAGCAGGGTGGGTGCCGAGCTGCAGTGCAAGCTGCCACCTAGGAGCAAGTGTTCTGGGCCCGGCTCTCTGTTGTGCAGCACTGTGTGTTTCAGTCTGTCCGTGCTGTCCAGAGTTTGGTTCATTTTTAGCCAGCAGGAGGGGAGAGATTACATTTTTTGTTGTAAGGATAAATGTGGCTTGAAACCACTTTGCAACACTGCCAGACCTGCAGGTGAAACCCTGCTTGTTTCCAGCCATGATTAACAGAAGGAACAGAGCCAAAGATAATACGGAAGGGAAGGAATGAGAGGAGAGAGTCAAACCTTGCCCAAATGGCAGGAGGTGGCTCCATGTATTAGCTGGACTATGACCAAGGCAGATGCGGCAAAGCTGAACGGGGCTGTTAAAGGAGAAACACTTGGGACAGTAACTTTAACTAGTCAGATTCTTCTTGGAAATGCCAGTATCTGAGATACTGAGCTGGAGCTAAATTTGGACATTGCATAAACATGTAGAAACCCATTCAGCTCTTACTGATGATTCACCCAGGTTTGGGGCTGGCTGAGCTCCTACACACACGGTAGCACAATCCATCACGCCCAGTGAACGGTTCTCTGCGTGGTGGGCCCTAAGTCACACCTGCAGCTGCTGCCTGCAGGTCACGCCAGCTGGCACAGCAGATGCTACAGGAACAGAATTTCTTCAGAGAGGCTTTTCAGCTGATTTTACACTCTATTTGTCATATACGCCAGAGAAAGGAAACTGTTGGGGTCTTATATTACCTCCCTTTTAGTGCAATGCAGTTAAAAAAATAGAAAGCTGATTTCTATACGATTCAAGTACAATTTATCAGGAGCAAACTGCTCCAGACATCACAGTCTGTCTCCTGGACCTGTTCTTCAGGAACTGGCTGTGTTTAAACTTCCTTCCCTGCTACCTGGCTCTAAAAGGCCTGCTCCCTAGCTCTGTCTCTCTGCATGGGTTACCACTGAAAACCATATTAAATACAGATCCTGGCAGTCCAGCATCTCACTGGTCACGGGGTGATGCTGCTGTCATCGAGTGCTTCGGGGAGAGATGGCACCACTTGGCCAGGCAGAGACCTTCAGGCGAGACTCCTGTTTGTTAGAGGGGCGCAACGTGGTGGCAGGTCTGAGCTAGGCAAGAGCAGCTGTGTCTGTGCCACAGTCAGCCTTGCGGCATGAAGGAGGGAGGCTGGAGTTTTTCTGACTCCCCTCTCTCTTCCTCTCAGTTGTGGGATGAAACTGCCCTGGTAAATAAAAGACATGCCAGAAACACTGGTTCATTTACAGCAGTGCACGTGTCGTCATGCAGTCTGGAGAAGTGGAGCTCATACGCCACAAATTAACGCCCTGTTCTTTCTACTTTTGTCTTAGTTTTGCATATCGCAGTTACATATGAAATCAAGTGTGGTAATTACCGAGCTGTGGTTGCAGAGAGTTATTAACTTGCCATACAAATTAAGACTGCTCTGCTGTTGAGTGGGATTTGTCCTTACAAAGGGCCAGGACTCCGTGGCTAACTGCAGAGGCCAGGGTAGACAATCTGCGAGGTGACTTTTGCCCCAAAGAGCTTGGCCAAAAATCAGGTCACAACTCAAGGCGTTTTAGCTTCTCAAGCAAATTAGCTCCCTTCCAGTCTCTTTTGCTTCCGATGCAGGTCAGGATTAAAAAAAAAAAAAAATTAAAACTAGAAATCACTATTAGAAAAAAGAAGCACTCACAGCTTTTGGGGGTTACTGGGCTACAGAGGAAGCCTAGCAAGACCAAGTTTTAGGACTCGGGTGAGCTGCAGCATCCAGCTATCACAGCTAAAACCTGCACTTCTGGAAGCACTGCCAGGCTGTCAAGTTTTGACTTGCGAGCAAAAACCTAATTGTAGAGATCATGTCACCAAGGGAGTGTTTGCACTAACCTCAGCAACTCGGGGTCAGACTAGTCAGGACTATTAGGGCACTTCTGCCTTTTGCATTTTGATAACTGGAAACAGATTTGAAATCAGACCTGAAGCATTGGTCTGCACAATGCTGTAAACCAAAGTGATTTAAAGGCAATAAAACCGCTGTTCTAAAACTTCAGTCAACTCTTTTCTAAAATTTTTTTCTTTCAGTAAGTAGGTCTTCCATACTGGGGCCAAAAATAGCTGGCCAGTTCTGATCTTGTTTTCCCATCAACATGGTCACGTCCCTCAGAGCCTGGAACACAAATTCAGTTTCACACCAGCAACTGGGCTAAGTAAGACTTTTTCCCATCAGAGAATACTAGCTGCATCAAACAATTGATGGAATAATTAGGGTATTACCAAAGTGCTGTCAAGTGTGGACTTAAAGAACAACTCAAAAACAGACACAGAATTATTACTCCTAAATGAATCAAAATATTAAAAAAAAAATAAAATAAAGATCCTAGGACTTGACATGAGCAGCACAATTGGGGAAACACCCCCAGCAGGTGGGTCTTCCACAGTCAATGTCTGACCTGGAAAGGAAACACAATACGATCACCAGCACTCACGCAACCTGGGTTTACAGTCGAGGTGAGCTGCACTCAGTCTCCCCAGTCAGGTTATTCCTCTAGGAGGCACTATGTTAATTACAAAAATAAAAAAAATACAGCTGCATAACTGCATAGTGGTCATCTCTGAGCACTCCTCCAGGAGTTAGCTGTAACTGTTCGCACAGGCACGGGGCAGGGTAGTGTCAGGGACAGACTGCAAAACCCGAGGAGCAGCCTGTGCAAGGTCAGATGGTCACAGAGGCTACTGGAGAGTTCATGTTGGTGACAGTCAGGTGCTGGTTGTTGTCAGTGGTGCACTTGCGGAAGTCGTCCCTCTTACAGAGGATCTTGGAAATGATCTTGCGGAAGGTGTAGCGGAAGTCCCTGATCCTGTAGGCATAGATGATGGGATTGATGACGGAGTTGGCATGGGAGAGGATGATGGCCATGTACATCACCCACTCGGGCTTGGATTTGGAGAACTCCTCATGGAAGTGAGTGATGCAGTTCAAGATATGCAGGGGCAGCCAACAGAAGGCAAAAAGTCCTACAATGATGGCCAGAGACTTGGCTGCGTGGACCTCCTTCTGCAGCGTGGTCCTGGAGTTGCCCATCAGCTCAATCTGATGCAACTGTTTGCAGGCAACCATGAATATCTTAATGTAGATTCCCAGCATGATAACGAGCGGAAGCAGCACGCAGCCGAAGAAGTTGAAATACACCATGTAGCTCATCGTTACCACGTTCTCAAAGAGGCATGAGATGAAGCAGCCATGGTGCTCTGTCCCAGTGTCAGCCCCTGTCTCGTTGGTGGCGTTGGGACAACCGCTCATGGCTTTGTTCCAGCCCATAAGCGGAGTCAGCCCGATTCCAAAGGACAGGAGCCACAGCACAGCGATGAGTCCTCTTGCCCGCTTGCCAGTCACCAGACTATTATACCTACAGCAGCAAGGACAAAAGGAAGATAGAGCCGTTAAGGAAATGACCACTCGTGACTTCCCTGCAGTTAAAGTCATCAGCATTTTGGCTAATGCCACAAAAGCCGCACCCACACCCACTGGGAACCAGAGGGGTAAAAAAAAAATCTCACCTGTGCTCTACACCTACACCAAGTGATTTGGGGAGGTGATTCACTTACTGTTCCTGAGGGGTGCGAAGCACTGCCCCTGCCCACAAACAGCCTTCAATAGGAGGTAGGGACTTGGGAGCCTTAAAAAAGGCTTTATCATCCCATGACCCTAAACCACCAACTACAAAGCGGGCAAAAACAGGGGGAGGGCTCACTCTGGATCCACCAACTTACTCTCCTGCTCTAAGCACCCACTGCTGGGCATGTCGGGGCATGCTACTGGGCTACATGAACTTCTGGGCTGACCTATTACAGCTGAGACAATGCTGGCTCTCAGTCCTGCACTGGGATGAGTAGCTAAAGACTCAACGAGCATCACCAGACACTTAGAGCCTTTATAACACAGCCAACTTGCTGCAACTTGGGCTGCTCTTAAGCCTGCAGCAATGCTGGCTTCCACTGGGGACTGCAGCAGTCCCGTAGTGTGATGTCCCTTCCCATGCTACCTCATACACTAAGGTGGGAAGTACACGTGTGTGGAAACCAGGGATCTTACTAGTTTCCCAAACTGTGCAATTCCTGGCTTACACATGCCAGACTGCAGCCCACGCGAGCTTGTTGTGGCTGGATAACAAATACCCTGAAAGACTTTGCTGAGCCAGCATCTGAAAGCAGCTGCTATTGATGGATTGCTTAAGGGAGTTACAGGTTAGGGTTTATGTCTCCATTCAGCATCTCGCATCCAGGCGTGGAGCTGGGAGCCAGGGACACTGGGCTCCTCCCTCCCTCTTTGACATCCCCGCTTTGTGCATCCTCCATCACCAGCGCTGATGTGGGCGCTTTCACTCGGCTCCCAGGGCTGGTGTCTGCCTGCCCTGCTCGTGTACGTGACGTGCCAGTTCTGCAGGACACACACCCCCGAGATTCCCTGAAGGTCTGAGCACAGGCTCGGACCTGCAGCTGCTGAAGCCATCCGTGGTTAAACCACACAGCTGTGTGTAGCTGCTGCTGTCAAACGGTGCTTGTGCTCTGCTGACCCACTGTAACTGGTTGTAAAATTTTTAAATAAACGCCTTCCTTGGGCACCTGCTGCTCTCACACGTGGCCCAGGGACAAGCTGATGCAGTGCCAAGGGCTGAAGAGCCATGTGCTGCCCCACACCCTGCCTGACCCTACGGACCAGGTGCCTCCGTGGCCGAGGAAACAAAGGTGCCCCTCCAGCCCCAGAGACACAAAGAGAGCTGGAAGCACCAAAAGTCAAGCTGGTTTGGGTGCAACCAGAACAGATGCCAACATCAAAGCATCAGTCAGATTGCTTTTAAGTGATAGGAAGAACCTGGCGACTGCCAGAAAGACATGAGAAAACCATTACTGTCCTCTCCACAGCCAGTTAGCGTCTGCTGGCTGACACGCATGTCCCCCCCTTCCCACACCCTTCTCTTGGAGCTTGTTTATTCTGGCTTGGCTACCCTGCTCCTCCTTTCCTAAGAACGTTTGTTCTGATTTTCTTCCGGCCCGTGAGGCAGGGGAGGGTTTTATTCCCACAGAACCGCAGCTGTGCCTGTGAATCACACTGCAGTTGCCTCCGTGCAAACCGTGTGTCCCTCTCCCCCTGCAAGCTATGAAAGCAGGAGGGTGCGTGGGGAGGGGACTGCCAACACGAACTGGGTGGCAAAGATGGGCCGGGGGGAGCCCTCGGCTCCTTCTGCACGGCTGCTGGGGCGTGGGGCTCGCATCGGGCACGGCCAGGGCTGGCCGAGGGGCTGCGGGAGCAGCAGCCGCATTGAGGTGCTGCGGACCTGGAACACGCTCCATGGGGCAGATGGCTAAAGGGCAGGTCTGGCCACTGAGGGGTTTCTCCTGCACTTTTCTCTCAGAAGATGAGAAGATCAGACCCAGCATCAGTGAGGCCAAGCCCATTGCTTTCAAAACCCTGTGTTAAGTGCCTGTTTTCAGGAGCCAGAGCTGGTCTGGGGTTGTGGGCCTGAAAACTTGAAGCTTTGTGTCGGAGAAAGTTCCCAGAAATCCAATCTCTTGGCAAAGTCTGAGTCTTGAGCTACAGCATTGGCCAAGCTTAGTCAGTGCTGTAGGAGCACCAAGAGCTGCTGCTGACCTACAGCTCTGCACGTGGGCAGAAATAAAACGTGGCTCCTTGGCTTCTGCTATTCACACTTAGTTGATCCGTTGCTCCTCTGCTGCCTTAGTCATGTCACAGCTCAAAAACCATTGTAGTGAGACTGGAAAATGCAAAAGGGACCCACGTTCAGAAAGAGAAACTGAAGGGTCGGGAGTTTTCTGTGCCTGGCTCAGGCTGTGCAGAGGAACACGATGAGAAGGCACCGCAGCTTGGTGTGCCACGCTGAGGATGGGGTCCAGGTGTCCACTGCCCTGCTCAGGCTGGTGGCACTCAGTGCTGCCTCTGGCCGAGAGCACAGGACCCTAAATAAGGCTTCTCCCATCTGCTCTTCTGAACTACTCTGCAAAGATAAGGCTTTGGCCTGAAGGTTTACAAAACCAGTTAAGAAGTCACTTAATTTTCCAGTGGCTGCAATGGTGACATGTTTATTTTAGTGTTGCTCGCTCTTCCCCAGCACACAGCGCAGAGCTCAGCCGGGATGGTGTGTAAGCGGGGGCCCCTTCTGTGGGAAGGAGGTGGCAAAATGTGCTGTGCTCTGGGTCTGCCAGAGCCGGAGCTGGGCCATGGAGAGGGCTGCAGGTCTGTCAGCACAGGGAAGAGATGGCGTTCATGAAAGTGGAGATAGTCGTTCACAGGGAACATCTGCCCTCCTTAGATTAGCTCTGCTTTCACAAGGACACGTTGCAGATTCCTCCCAACATCTCTGCATTCGGTTGCTCACAGGTGAGGATGATGTGAACTGACCTACCAGCCAGGAAGGCCAAGGGGAAACTGGGAATAGCTTGATGTTCGAAAATCAGCCACTAAATTACCTCATTATTACCTTAATACACTTATTGGGTGGGATACTGCCTGTATTGCCTTGAAGTGTGAGTAAGCAAGTTAAGCAGCACGTGCTTAAAAATAATGCCTGTCACCAGATCAAGGTGTGAAGAGTCTTGTTAGGGAGCAGCAGGCAGGGACAGAGCCACCCCCGTCATAACCCGCCATCAGCAAAAGCAGGCAGGGGCTGTGAGAGAGCTGTGCAGGGACTCAGCTTCTTCCTTATGCACTACAAAACACGATCAGGCGGCGAGGAACCAGCAGATTTTTCACAGCTCTGAATGCTTCAGCAAACCCCTCCTTCATTCTTTTTTAGGCTTAATATTATTAGGCAAAAAAACTATTAAAGTAAATTTACTCACCTAAGTCTGCTCAATTAATGTATAACAAATATTGAATCTCCTCTATGTTTCTGCCCAGAGGCATCAAATGTTGCTTTAATGTAAATAACAGCTGAATATTTTAAAATGATTTATTGAGATTAAATAACCTGGCAATGCATTAGTTCCTTTTACACCGCCAGGCAAAGTCTCTTTACTGGCACAATCATCATCAAGCAGGTAATTAGCTCAGCTCCCACCCAGTGCCCCTGCGGTGGACATGCTGCAGCAGCCCCGGTGCCACCCGCACTGTGCTGCCATCACAGACTGGGTCAGGTTTCTGTTCTCCTGGCATACACAGCTATGTGCTTGCCACCAGTCTCCCAGGCACACAGCCCCGGTTGCAGCAGGTCACATACTTTAAGGAGAGTCCAGATGCTTTTACAACGTGGGTCTGACCCGCCGGTGTGTGTGGAGGGCTGACCCGGGCTGGATGCCAGGTGCCCACCGAAGCCGCGCGATCGCTCCCCTCCTCAGCTGGCCAGGGGAGGGAAAATGTAACGAAAGGCTCGTGGGTCGAGATAAGAGCAGGGAGAGATCACTCACCGGTTACTGTCACGGGCAAAACAGACTCGACTTGGGGAAAATTAGTTTCATGTCTTACCAATCAAAATCAGAGTAGGACAATGAGAAGTAAAACCTAATCTTAACACCTTCCTCCCACCCTCCCTTCTTGCTCAACTTCACTCCCAATTTTCTCTCCCTGGTCCCTGCCAGCGGCGCAGGCGGATGGGGATGGGGGTTATGGTCAGTTCATCACCCGGTGTCTCTGCTGCTCCTTCCTCCTCAGGGGGGAACTCCTCACACTCTCCTCCTGCTCCGGCATGGGGTCCCCCCTGGGCTGCAGGGGGGGTCTCTGCTCCCCCGGTGACCTCCCTGGGCGCAGGGCACAGCTGCCTCGCCATGGGCTGCACCACGGGCCGCAGGGGAATCTCTGCTCTGGCACCTGGAGCACCTCCTGCCCTCCCTCCTTCCTCACTGCCCTTGGGTCTCTGCAGTTGTTTCTCTCACATATTCTCTCTCTTTGGCTGCAGTTGTGCAGTTTTTCCCCCACTTCTTAAACACGTTATCCCAGAGGTGCTACCACCGTCGCTGACGGGCTCGGCCTTGGCCAGCGGCGGGTCCGGCTTGGAGCTGGCTGGCATCGGCTCTGTCGGACCTACCAAAGCCTTGCCACGCAAACGCGACACAGCATGCAAGTGCCAGGCTGCCGGGTCTGTACCTGCTGTGCCATCACCGGAACGGGCCACTGGCAGAGCCTTCAGCCAGGGCACAACACAGCTCTGCCCAGCCACCGGGCCACAGAGCGAGCAACCGCTCTGCCCCCGAGGCTGGAGGAGAGCTGCCCCACGGACTGGAGATGGTTTCCTTCACCCAGCAGACGCACTGTCGCCTGTGGCCCCTCTACCCCTGCGATGGCTCAGCAAGGTTCACAGTTTTTCTGGAAGAGCATCGTGGCAACCACCAAAGCGACAGAGCCGTACAGTAGCACGGGGTGCAGGAAGGCTCTCTGCATTCTCCGGGCACTACG